CACGGATCTCTGTGTCCTGTTGGAGCAAACCAATTGGAGGGAAGCACTATCAGCTATCTACCAGCACTTTACCAAGGTGAATAATCACAGCTAAACATGCATGAGCTCCTAAATACAGTAGGAGCTCATACAAGTTTCATAAAGTAGCCCACATGACATGCATGAGTCGCCTACAACACACACACATACTTTAACAGGTTTACTGTGCTGCACAAGTTGAACAATATTATGATTTTTATATATCAATATGACTATAAAATAATAAGTAAAAATGTTTTATAGTCAAATTGATATAATCCCATGTAGTCAAAGCTCAATGTCTTGAGCTTTACTTTAAAATCATAGAAAGAAAAAAAAACAGCAGGAAACCCTTTAAGCCTCTGTTTTTTTTCACAGCAGCTAGTTTCACAAGTTTTAGAAGATGGTTGATACATGTTGCATTCCCAAATGCATATTATAAGCCACGCTTTCCAATTTTAATAATTGCACTTAGCCATATTGCGATTTTAGTTAATCATGCAATGCTATCTTTAACCAGTTGTTGTGTTTTTGCCTTCCCTTCAGATTACCTGTATGTTGGGTCTCCTGTACTTGACTAGCGTAGCCAGTCTCATCGCTTCTTCTGCCGTCATCCAGCAGCTCGGCTGTCTTCCCAATACCAGCTACACTTACCTGGAGCCGATGAAGCACACATCCATTCATACACCAGCACTTCTCCCTGAGCTCTTGCCGGACACGCAGCAGCCAACCTCAAACCTCCATTGCTGCAGCCTGACCAACGTTAGCTTGAAGCTGTGGCCCAGTGTTGTTGTGCCAGATCAGCAGGGTTCTACCTCTTCGTCATATCCGAACATGGTGCTTTGTCTCTGGGGCTCCATCGTCTCTGCTGTTTCCAACTCAAACCCCTCGTTGGATATTCAGCCACAAGACTGTGTGGTATCAGAAGTGATCTGTCACACGGGTGGTTTCCCCCGATGCACAATAGCTCGCAATGGCTCGGCGCTTCTTACCTCTCCATGGCATGCTCGTCTCTCAGCACTTTGGCTTGGGTTAGCTCCGTTTAGTGAAGACCTGATATTTTCGGACCCCCATCTTAGCTCCATGCCACCATTTCAAAGACACCCATGTTGCCAAGAGACGACTTTGCCATTTGGGAAATCACCATCTCTTCTGATGCCTGGCTAGATGAGTAAAATAAAACCAGCAGAGTTTACATTACATACACAGTCAACTCCCTTGATTTTCCTTAATGTTGTATACGAACCAGCCATATGGATTGGTTATAACTGGGTTGTGGTGAGATATCAGTATGTCGGGGAGAAGGTTGTAAGGACGTTTATTACAAAAGTGGCATATGCTGATTGACCGTTTGAGTTTTGATGCGCGTGCTAATGCAGTATGAATGAACAGGCTTTCTTTTCTTTCTCTTTCCGGTTGGGTTAGTTTGGTTGGTTTTAGCTGTTACGTGAAACCTCCAAGGCATCCAAGCAAAAATAATGGTAAGTAGTTACATAAGTTAACAAAAGGGTCTGCTGTTATGCGCAGAAGTGTGTGTTCTTGTTTTGAATAGTTTGCCTGGCGTTGCGCTACATGGCGTTGTCCTGAGGAGAACTGTATTGTTTTAAAGTTCCTTCCTGCGAAAGCCTTTATTTTCAAGTTGGGGAAATAGTTTGAATTTAAGCCTGGTTTTGTTCACTTGGGTTCAAAGAGGAAGGGTGGAAGGAAAGCAAAAAGGGATGTCAGTTATGCAATTTAGTTAGATATTCTTCAGATTTGTAATGGTCAGATTGGTTGATGCCATTCCTCATCCACAAAGCATTCATCATAGATCGCTTTAGTTAAGCGTTCGAAGTAACAGTCCTCAATATTTTGATATCCTAAAGTACTGGAATTGCAGAACAGACTAATTTAATAGAGTTGGGTTCATTGCTTGACTTTGTTAATGTGTTTAATTTATGTTCTTTAAACAATGTAATTGAATAAATGGTATGTTATTAAGACTTGGAGATAAAAGCACCCTTTAATACCTGATTTAGTGACTTCTTACATATCCACCATTATAGGTTAATAACTTCTAAAGTCTGTTAACTATTTCCTGTCCCAATTTTGTACATTTTGTATAGAAATGATGAAAGAACGTACGCTGCAACAATGAAAATAATAAAAATATCTTAATCTCAAACTTGTTTTGGTCATTTCTAGTTTTTTTGTTGTTGTCGTCTATATTCGTTTTCATTTTTAGTATTCGTTTTTTAATACTTCATCATGAACTGTTTCGCCACTAGTTGAAATGAAATGTTGAATATTTTATTTCAATAAATGATTTTTGGCATGGTTTTAGTTTTTTTTGTTTTACTTTTTATTTTTCACTTCATACTTAATTTTAACGAATAAATATTATAACCCATTTAATCACTTAATGCCTCAAGCAATATTGAAGACATTTCTTAGCTGGCCTTTGGCAGGTGTGGCATAAAATTAATTTTGGACCCTTCATGAAGGAAGGAATGGTCGCGCGCATATCACACAAGCCACGCGCTATATTTGGATCAACCTGCGCGCGCTCCTACGTGCCTGCCTGCTCTCGCGCGGTCTGTCAGTGTCAAACAAGACACTTTTACACTACATTTAACCGGACTCGTACAGTAATATCCTAAAATAGGTGGTCTTCTCTTCACCACTGTGCCGTCGCTTTGTCTGTCCATCGGACCTACTGCGTTTAGAGGGAGCGTCGCGGCTTAAATATCCGACTGACCTCAATTGATCCTAATATAGCTCGGCTGAAGCGGGATCAGATGCACACATGGACACTGGCACGCAGGTAATAGAGTAAACCTTCTCTCGCGAGTGTAAATCAGCGTCTGGTGCATATGTTAAAATAATAAAGGCTTGAAAGATTGAAATGGGCGAGACAGC